GGCTCAATCACATTCATGTTTTAACAGTGGATTAACTAAGAGTTCCAAGCAAAAAGTAATTCCCACCTAATGATCCTCAATTATTCACTCTGCAGTGAGGGAACAATGAGCTTTGGGATCTTTTTTTCCCCCACTAACTCAGCTGTGTGTTCCATCCAGAAATACCTGGGATTGAAAATGTCAGTTCCAATGGTTCTCAGTGAAATGTATGATTTTGTCTAATTCTCTGCATGTCAAAGCATATTTAGGCTTTTTTAAAATGAAGGGTTTTTAAATCTCTGTTTTGAAGTGAGAGAGTAAGTCCCCACCTCTCCTGCTCTCTTCTGCAAGACAGGGTGGAAGTTTTGGCATCCACCCACACCCTAAGGTGTGTGGGCACAGGGAATATCCCTGGAATCTGTCCCTGTTGTGTCCAAGGGTCCTAACACAGCACATTCACCCACTGGTCAGTTAAAACTGGGGACAGGGGGGTGACCTGCTTCCCTCCAGGGAAGGACAGTCAGGAGTGTCCAACCCAGCAAACATCCCTCCTTCAGGAAAAAACACCGTTCCTGCCTACCTTCTGCCTGATCTGTTACTCATTCACTATTGCAGAGCAGTGATGAAACATTAAAGGGCACCTTCAAAAGCTTCACCACCCAAGGGAGTGATGGTGGTTGTGATAAGAGCAGCAATTAGGTGAGTCAGAGCCCTAAGAAACTTAAAGAGTAGAAACTCTTTGGTTGGAAACTGCTTCAGTTTGGGCTTAAGCAGCCCCTGACCCAGCTGACTCTGTGGGGTCTCAGCTGATGCTGCTGCATTGCCAAACCCTCCTTGGCCAAGGGTCATCACAGGACATTTACAGCCCCTGTGGAGCTGTGGTTTCAGCTGGGCTCCCACCCAGCGACGTGATGCAAAGTATTCCAGTGCTGTTTGGAAAACACGAGCAGGTGTTAGCACATCGGGGAGTGTTTCAGCAGCCCCACACGGGGCAGCACACCTGGGGCAGGGCAGGGGGACACACACCCCATGGGTTTGTGTCCATGTGTGACCCTCAGCTCCTGCTGGGGCTGAGCAGGGTGTCAGGGCTCACAGTGTTCTGTGTTTGCTGACAGCAGGAGCTCCCCAGCACACACCACAGACACCCTGCACCTGGTCAGTTCTGCTGGGACAGGACGAGCCAAGCCCCCAGCGCTGGGTTTGCCACACACCTCTCCCCTGTGGGAGCTGAGTGCCCTCTAGAGAGCACCTGCAGCCCAGGGATGGGATCACCTGTAGCTCCTGCAGCTCCAAACACCTCCAAATATCCTCAACTATCCTGGGCAGTGACATGTGAAATGTGTCAGGATCCCTGACACAGAGGGCACGGAGGGCACTCTCCCCACCCCACTGCAGGGCAGGGGCCCTGGGCAGGGCTGACATTGCTGTAGATTGTGATCATTGCATTTTTCTATCATAGTATTTCAATCACATATTGTTATACTCCTGTTGGATTGGCTGACAGCAACTGCTTCCACTCAGGCACAGGCAGGATCAGCCAAACTTTGTGTGTCCTGAGCCCCACCTGGAGCAGAGCCTCGGAGCTCAGGCCCAGGTGATGTGGTGACGTGGGGGTGGCACACCTGGACAGGCAGGACACTGCCCAGTCGTGTTTCCTTTGGATCTGCCGGTTGGGAAGAGCTGACACCTGATGGTGAGAGCTGCAAACTGCCAGGACTTCCCAGGCACATTCTCTGTTTCCTCCACTCAAGCAGCACTTGCATGTCAGGATCATTAATTATCAGCCGCTCTGAAGCTTTTTATCTGACATCACATATAAAAACACAATGCTCGTGGCAAATCTCTTCTTCAGTCTCAGTCCAAACTGGACGGTTTGGAGACAGGCCAGTTTTGCCCTGTGTACAAACACATGTTCATTTCTCTGTTCCCTGAATGCCAAACCAAACCAATCCAATAGAGATATTTTACAATTCTCTTCCCTCTGGGAAAAACAAACAACTAAACCATCCCCGACTAAATATTTTACATTTCTCTTTCCTCTGGGAAAAACAAACAACCAAACCATCCTGCTATAAATATTTTCACGGGTGCTTCAGTTGCTGTTTCATTCTGAGGTATAAGAGGGTGAGGCCAATGCACGTGGAGCAGAAGGTGAAAACTCAGACACCAAATTCCCAGGATTTTAGTTTTGGTGATGAGTCTTTCAATTCGGGAGGATCTGACTGATGCTGTTCAGCCGAAATCCTCGGCGGGGAGGAGAGAGCAGCAGCTCCAGGGTTTTGCACAAGGGTTTGGGCCACAGCCGGGAGAGATCCGAGCGTGGGAAGAGCAGGAGGCGAACCTGGCCCGGCCCCAGGCAGGTGCGGAGCTGCCGCAGGAATTCTCCACCCGCTGCCAGCGGCTCTGGTCGCGGCCGCCAGGGATCACTCTTGTCCCTTCTCCTCTCCCTCACAGCCACAATTCCTCCTCCCTTTGCCCCATCCCATCTCCCTTTGCCCCATCCCATCTCTCTTTGCCCCATCCCATCCTCCTTTGCCCCGTCCCATCCTCCTTTGCCCCATCCCGTCCTCCTTTGCCCCATCCCATCTCCCTTTGCCCCATCCCATCTCCTGGCTCATGGCAGCACAGGAACCAGAGCAGAGCAGGGATGCTCCTTTCCACGTGTGTGGCACAGAGCTTGGGGAAATTTGCTTTTATGTTCCAAATGTTTATTAATTTCTCAGCAAAGGACTTGACAATATTTGACACGTGCTTAGGTGGGAGAAATTTGGACTCAATGATCTTTGAGGTCTCTTCCAGCCTGGTTGATTCTAAGACATCTTTGTGCCGTGGTATGTATGCCACAGAAAGGGTTTTCAGGCCGTCGGCTCTCACCCTCCTGTGGGTATCTCTGCATGGCTGGGGCTGTCTCAAGAGCAGATTTCGCTGATGCCACTCGAGGGCTGTCACTGCAGCACCTGAGCTTGCTCTGCTCACGGGCACTCAGGAGAAGGGACACATCCGCCTCCCCGGGCAGATGTGGAGCACAGAGAGAGTGGGACTGGCTCTGCCCAGGGGCAGCATCCCTCGGGCTGCTCACACTGCACAAGTGCAGAAGACAGGTGGGACCAGGTGAGACGTGCCTCCCCCCAGGTGACTGCAACACAGACCTGCTGAGATGTGTATGACAGACATCCTACTCTCCAGCACCAGCACATCTCACCTGACACATCTGGAGAGCAGCTGGGGATGTGCACCAGGGACACCTGTGTATGGATACACACCACCCTGAGCTTTGGTGTGGAAATTTCTGGCCCTGATCTCTGTTCTCCTTTCACTGATGAGCTCCAGCTCTGCTGGCCTGGCTGAGTCCTCCAGTATCATTCAGGAGCAGGCAACACCTGCCTCAGGCTGTGACAACAGGGAGGAGAGGGACAAGACCTGCCAGGGCAGTGAGGTCATTCTCTGGCTAACACTGGCAAAGCAGTTTTGTTTCCAGTGCAGGATAATCCTGACCAGTTTAGGTGCCCTTTGTGCAAGGACCAGCACGTGGTGTCCTAAAGGAACTCAGGTTCAGACACAGGTTCTTGATTGCATCAGGCAGAAGCAAAGTTTTATTAGAGACATATTTCACCAGCAGGGACATTAGTGACCATGACTAACTGAGGTACTTCTAGAGGTTACAGCATGGCAGAAGAGAGGAGCAGGACAGAGGAGGTGACCCTGTCACCCCCTTTAGCTACGTGGCCAAGCGTCGCTGAGTTACTTCTACGTTGCCTGCACAGAGGTGTGCAGCGAACACGGAGTGCTCTTGGTTTGTCTGTGGGTTTCCCTGTCACCTTCCAGGCCGTTCCTCCTTAGTCACAAATTCTCCTGCAGGTCACTGCAGAGAAAACACAGCAGCATTATTTGATTGCAGCAGAGACAAAATCCTTCAAATCACAGAATTTGGTCTGTGTGGTGCCCTTGTTTCTAGGAGGCAGTTCTAAGCTAGAGCAGCTGGCAGGCATGCCCAGAAATTCCCTGAATAATTTGCTTTAATGGGAATTTGCACTTGTGAAGTTACAGATGTGCTCTTTCTTTTCACTCCTTCCAGACTCTTTTGCTAAGCTTTGGCTGTTGTCTTCTTCACTTCTACTTCCAGATCTTTTTGCCTCCCTTTATGCCTCATTTCCTCTCCAAGCCTTCTCCTCTCCTTTCTACCACTCCTGCTTGCCTCCCATTTGCTTCCAGCAGCTCCATGTTCATTCCAAGCTCTCTTTAAAGCTGTTTCTCAGTGACATCAATTCTGCATTGCACTCAGACCACAGGTCACAGCTGCAGCACAGAGACTCTGAGGAGCTGCCAATGACACGTCCCAGGAATGTGCTGTCTCCCAGCCACAGGGCACAGGACCAAACTGAACAAAACCAGTTCTTGTGTGAAAACAGAGCTCTCACCTTGTATGTCTCCAGTCTTGCAGGGTGGCACCTGGGGCTGGCAGTGGGCAGCTGTGGTTGTTGTGTAGGTGTGGCTTGTCCTAATGACTCCTCCACCGGTTCCCATTCCTCCGCCGTGGCTGGTGGGATAAATTTGATGAGAGAAATTGGAATTTTAGGCCTTTACATGTCTCTGCTGACTGAATACCTGGCACAAAGTCTCAAGCTATTTCCTTTATAGGGGTTACAGTATTTTACATTACATTTCCTTTCACTTTGAGAGTTGCTTTGCATTTGTGCTCCCCCTTGGCATGGAACTGCAATGCAGAGCACTGCCAGTACTTCACATTTTGACAGTTCTCACCCATCTCACTATGGAAAAGTGACTGTTCCCAATGCTGACACAATGACAGTGTTGTCACCAGTAATTAACAGATTTGGTGTCTCTGCTTTGCAGATCCCAAGGAGTGACATTTGGTTCTGATTTGAATGTTCATCATAGTGAAGATGCTCATGAGACAACTTTTAAATCCTAAATTAAGATGGACTAAAGGTCAGGATGGCTTCCCAATCTGCAACACAGATCCCTGATGGATTCCCTAGTGGATTTAGAGTTGTACATACATGAGGTCCTGCTGTCCTCCTTCCAACAGGCACCGGTAGGTCTGGATCTCCTGCTCCAGGCGGCACTTGACGTCCAGTAAGGTCTTGTACTCTTGGTTCTGGCACTCAATTTCTGCTCTTATTTCAGCCAGTTGCTGCTCCACACAGGTGATCTGGTTCTGTAGATCACCCAGGAGGTTGTTGTACTGACACTCAGTTTCAGCCAGAGAGGATTCCAAATTATTTCTCTGAAAAACAAGACAAGCAAAGAAACAACATTCATATAAGTGTCACCCTGGAGTTCATTATCTCCAGTGCAGAAAGGAAGGAGCCATTCGGCCCCACTGTGCTGGTTGGTGGGTCTGGCTGTCCGTGCAGTGACCATGCCAGAGCTGACAGTCACCTCACTCACCTGGCTGAGCTGAGCCTGGAGATCGATTTCCAGGGCTTGCAATTGGCGTCTCAGTTCAGTCACCTGATTGTTGCACGTTTCCACCTCCTGACCGCTCGTAATAACCTCCCGATTCACCTCCTCAATCTGAAAGCCAGGACAAAGAGCTTCAGGGAATATCCAGGTACACTGGATTTGCTTTCACAGGAGCAGAACACAGTGTTCAGCAAGAGGAACAAGGGAGCAGGGCAGGTTCTCCATGCTTGGGGCGTTCGCAGCCAGCTCCACTGCCTGCTCATTTTACAAAGCCCATTAACCTCCTGCCTATTAAGCCTCTTTAATCCAAACGTGGAATATCTCAGTTTCAGCAACACACCACAAGGCCTTGTGGCAAATGCTGCTGGTCCAGATGGGACATAAAAAACTGGTCAGACAGGCCCATGGATCCCCTGCAACACAGGGTATAATGAGTGCTGCTCTGGGGTTTCACTGTGAGGGAAGAACTGCTCATTTTCTCTGTGTCTGATTTCTGAGAGGCTTCTGAGCCCTGAGGGGGGTGTGTGTGTGTGTGTCAGTTTGCTCACTGCAGGTGTGTGACACTCACCTTGCACTCGTACCAATCCTCGACTTCCTTGCGGTTCCGCGCGATGAGCGTCTCGTACTGGCACCGCAGATCCTCCAGGATCTGCCTGAGGTCTGGGCCAGGGCAGGCATTGACCTCCACGCTCACATCTCCAGTCGATTGCTTCCTCAGACAGCACATTTCCTGGGGACAGCACCCACATCAGCTCAGTTTTTAAACAGGAGAGAACAGAGGGAGCCAAGTCGCCCTGCAGGGAGGAGCAGAGCCTGGCACTGCCCCTCATTGCTGCACCCTCACAGCTCCCAGGGCACACGAGGCAGGAGATGGACCCAGGGAGTGAGGGCTGTGTCCAGGGGAGGGGCAGGACCCTACCTCCTCGTGGTTCTTCTTCAGGCAGCAGAGCTCCTCCCGCAGCGACTCCAGCTGTGCCTCCCGGTCAGACCTGCACAGCGTCAGCTGGTCCAGGACTTGGCGCAGCCCGTTGATGTCAGCCTCCACGCTCTGCCGCAGCGCCAGCTCCGTCTCATACCTGAGTTGTGCAGGAGAGCAGAGATTCGGCATGGAAATGTCTCGCATGGGCTCTGCCTCTGCCAAGACCTCCTTTCCCAGCTCCCTGCTCTGATCTGCATTTTGCTGTCCAGGCTGAATGCAATGTGTGTTGCTTTTCTGCTTCACTTCATGTTTGTTGTGTGAAAGCTTTTCTTCCTCATCTGTTTTTTTATCCCTGCTCCTGCTCGCTGTGTAGTTGGTATCACCTAATCAGCTGTTTTTCTGCTTTGCTGATCCTGATCTGCACTGGTTTGGGGTGGAAATGGACCACTCCCTGCAACACCTGAGCCCTGAGCCTCAGCCTCACCACAAATGCTGTTGCTAAATGTTTTACCCAAGAACACTAATTAAGGGATTGTTGGTGACCAGGAGCAAAATGCCTTTCATCATCCTGCCCCACCGTGGTGGTGTGGGGAGATGTGTCTGGAGCCTCTGTAATTAGTGCCTGGAGCCTCCCCAGTGGGGTGAGAGGAGCAGGGGGAGGCAGCAGGTTCACCTGCACAGAGGGACACTCACTTCACACGGAAGTCATCGGCAGCCATCCTGCTGTTATCGATGTCCAGGATGATCTTGTTGTTATCAATGGTTGCACAGACAATCTGGAAAAGAGCAGACCATGAGAGATGTCTCCTACTCTGCAGGTCTATCTGCTTTGCAATGAGTAGTAACTCTTCACAATTCCCTTTTTCTGTCACCTTCTTACAGAAGTAACCTTGTCCCTTGAGCAGAGGAGCTGAAGGAGGAGCTTTGCCTCCTTTACTTACGGGCAGTAAAGAAAAGAGGTGACCTGTGCAGAGGGTGGGAATTAAAGAGTACTGAGATGAGGCTTCCCAGTTTCAAGATCTGAAGGCAAGTTCCAAATATGCTTCACAAAGAGAACCTAAAGGACCTTCCTTAAGACACTGAATCTCCACTGACATTCAAGCTGGAGTGTTCCAGGTTTCAAGCTTAAGGAACTTCAGGGAAGATGGTTGGAAGGAGCCTTTAAGCCTTAGGAACAGTCACAGCTTTCACTGTGGACTATTAGCATCAGGCTGTTTGTGCCACTGTGACAATCAGTTTCAATACCCAGTTTTCCTCACCTAGAATTTATAGTTTCATTTAATGAAGCGTTTGATGTGTATGTTTTGCTCTTGTTCCATAGCTTCCTTTGCTTTCTCTACAGGGCTGACACCTCTACATTTCCCCGGAGCACATTGGTAATATCATATTTACAGGTGTATATTCAAAACACAATGTACCAAAGCATCTTTTTCCTTTTCAGAGCCTTCTCCCACTCATATCATCTTGCAGCATCCACCCTTGATGTGCCCCCACACACTCAGCAAGGTCAGAGGGGAACTTGCCAACACTTGTTTGCAAAGACATTTAGCAGCACCAAAGTTCCCCCTGACAACTGCAGTAGGTTCTGAACACAAACCACAGCAATGAGCTTTCAGCAGGGGAGGAACAGCCCGAAAGGAATTACCTGGTTCTGAAGATCTTCGATCTCCTTGTAGTAGCAGCTGTAGTCCCTGGGCTCGCAGGACAGGCCTTGTGTCGCGTAC